TCCTTCTTCCTTTTTTTTTTTGGTTTGAGACAGAGTCTCACTTTCTCACCCAGGCTGGAGTGCAATGGTGAGATCTTGGCTCACTGCAACCTTTACCTCCCAGGTTCAAGCAATTCTCTTGCCTCAGCCTCCCAAGTAGCTGGGATTACAGGTGCCTGCCACCACACCCAGCTAATATTTGGTATTTTTAGTAGAGATGTGGTTTTGAGATGTTGGCCAGGCTGGTCTCAAACTCCTGACCTCAGGTGATCCTCCCCTCTTGACCTATCAAAGTGCTAGAACTACAGGCATGAGCCACTATGTCCAGCCCCCTCCTATCTTCTTGTCTTCCCAGCTGTGACTGGGAACCATGCCATCATTGCCCATTCCAGGTAGCCCCCAGTGGGCTTAGGCATGTGGATATGGAGTCCATGGGGACCCAGAGGCCCTCCATGGGGGCAGTGATGTGGGATTGGGACTATGGTAGGCACTTTGCAGGGAACCCCTTTCTAGAAGTCCCCCTTTTTGCTCTCTTCTCTTCCCTACCTTGTATAGCCTAAGCCCTACAGCTTAACATTGGGGAAACAGAGGCCTAGAGAGGAAAAGGGGCTGGCCTAAGGTCATACTGAGAATAGGGATAGAGCCTGGGCCTCCTGTGTCCTGACCCTGTGCTCATTCTCATGCCTGGGAAGATGGAGCTCTTACTTTGGGACACCTTTTATGAAGATTAGTGTGGAGTCATGTACCTATGTGAAGGAGGCCAACTTGCAGCAATGCCTTGTGGACTGGAGTAGTCATGGTGGGCTCCCTGGAAGAGGCAGTAAAGCCTAGTTCAACATAGAGGGTAGGTGAACTACAGGTTGCCCATGGGCAGCAGGGAGAAAGTTTGTCCAGGTTGTCATGTCTCCCATTTGTTGAGCCTCACTAGGGCCTCCTCAATTTAATTTTATCTTGTCCTCATGATGGGTTGTGAGAGTTTTTTCCCCTCATCCTTACTCTATAGATTTATTAAATCTACAAATATTGGCAGGTGCAGTGGCTCATGCCTGTAGTCTCAGCATTTCAGAAGCCAAGGCAGGAGGATGGCTTGAGCCTAGGAGTTCGAGACCAGCGTAGGCAACATGGTAAAACCCATCTGTACAAAAAAAAAATTAGCCAGGCATGGTGGCATGTACCTGTGGTCCCAACTACTTGGGAAGCTGAGGTGGGAGAATCGCATGAGCCTAGGAGATTGAGGCTGCAGTGAGCTGTGATTGTGTCACTGCACTCCAGCCTGGGTGACACAGCAAGACTGCACCAGGCCCTGCGCCCCAGTATTAGGACCTAGAGGTAGTCAGGCAGACTGGCCCTGCCCTGTGGGCCCACAGTCTGATCAGGGAGGCTGCTGGTATCGGCCTGGCTGGGGGATCAGCCATGTGATTTGAGGCCAGTTTCTTCCCCTCTCTGTGCCTCAATTATCACCAAAAAGTGGTGATAATTAAGTCCTTTCCTCCTAATGTTTATGAAGTGCCCCAAACAGAGCCAGGCACATTGGAAGTACAATATCTGTATGTGTGTGTTTGCTTAAAGGGTTATCAAAGGAACAAGCTAATTGCAGATTGTGAGCAAGTGCTGCACAGGAAGTGAAAAGGGCAATGACGTGAGAGCTTTCTGGAGAGCTAGGAATGTTTTCTGTCTTGATGGAAGTTTGGGTCCCTAGGGTGTGTGCAATCATCAAAACTCATTGAATTGGACCCTTGAGACCTGTACATTCTACTATATGCCAATTATACCTCAATAAACAAAGGATATATTGAAAGAAAGAAAAACAAATGATGAAGAGAGAGTGAAGGACTCTTGAGGTCCCTTTTAGACAGGGTGGTTAGGGAGGGCTTCTGAGAGGAGGTGACATTGAGGGGAAGCCTGGAGGAGGAGAAGGCTTTGGCTATGGGGAAGGACGATGAGAAAACTGAGGGTCTAGGAGGTTTTGGGCTATGTTCAGGGTCAACTCAAGGGGTCAGGAGAGACAGCTCAGGGATTTCTTGGCAGCTGGGCCTGGGTGGGTCCAGGCTGAGGGCTTTGGCTCCTGTGCTCTGCAGAGACGCCAGTGGGGCATTTATTATATTTTCCGGGGACAGCCCTCCCTGCACCATATGCCTATTTTCAGGGCTTTGGCACTTGTAGAAGGACTATTTTAATCCATGTGGGAAATGGTTTCCTAAATATGGACTGAGTGGGGCAGGAAGCCACGAGAGGCTCCAGCTCAGGGCAGCTCCACCCGCTCCTCTACTTCAGTGAAGCACAGGCTGCAGGCCCAGGCTGGAAGGCTCTCTGGCCCCTCCTTGGCCATCTACCGCCCTTCCTCCCTCTCTCCCTCTCACTGCCCCCATCTCCCTCCAGTCCTAGGCCCATCCTCCCATCCTTTGCTTGGGAGCCCAGTGTTTCCTGCCAGGCCCCAGCTAGGGACCCCAAGTGAACCTGACCCTCCTCTGCCCTCAAGCTACTTCCAAGCTGATAGGAGGAACAGAGGCAAAAAACAGTAAGAAAGGTGCTGGGAGAACTTTCCAGAGAGAGACAGAAAGAGAGAGAGAGAGAGAGAGAGAGAGAGAGAGAGAGAGAGAGAGAGAGA